GCAAGGCTCGCTGAGAGAGGAGAAACGGGAGAGCAGGGCTGCCTTCAATGAAGGTGGTCCGCGAGTTGAGAAGAGCGAGACTCGTGCTCTCAGCGAGAGCATTCCGTTTCAGTGAGCATGCAGTCTCTGCGTGGGGGCTGCCCAGACAGGCGACGCACTCACTGCCCTTCTGCATTGTGCAAGATTCCCTGCACGAGCCACACTCGCAGTGCGACATTTGCAACAACGTCGCTAGAAATTTTGCTCTTTTAGAACTTACCTAGAAATAAGCTCTTTTAGGCTCGCCGGATGGCGGCAGGGGATCAGCTGGGACCGATGCTGCTGCGACGCTGAAGGTGGCGGTGAAGCGGCGAATCAGCCGAGCAGAGGGTCGCTGGTTCAGCTTGATCCGCTGTGAAGGCGATTCTACGGCGAGAGGCTTCGAGTCTCGTAGATCAGCGATGAACTTTGTCGTCGCTGAAGGAGAAGAAATCTGAGGTCCTGTGGTGAGGTGCACCCTTATATAGCCAGATGCCCCGCCCAAATTGGTGGGCTCTGGCGGGCTGTGTCGCCATAGGCTCGTGCAGCCATTGGTTCGTTTTTAATAATACACTGCACGAACCAATGGCCGTGCAGTTACACTGCGTGATTGAAAAAGGCTTCAGTATTCTGAGAAAAAGGAGTTTTCCCCAAAGCATCTTAAGCAAGATGCAGTACGAGTGAAGTATCGATAGGGAATCATATAATACAATGTTGTTTTCTTATACTCAGCTCTCTATAATATTTGATTCTGATTAATCTATTGCAGCATTATGCAGATGTCACTTAGTTACCTAGCGCTAGTTTCAGGTTTCTCAAATAACTCTTTGAACTCTCACATAAAATAGTTATGAGTGAATAATCAATAGTTCATGTCAATTGATTTATGTAAGTGGGTTAATGTAGAGTCAGCCGTTCATTAAGGCTAAATAATTTCCTTTCAGGATGATACAGGATCAGATGTCTGTAGGTGTATCTGACTGTGTTGTTTTCTATCCCAACAGAGCTGTACTGATCAGTTTGCGGATTCTGGCAAACATTCTGGTCCTGCTGTCTCTGACCGGCAGCATCTACATCATCTACTTTGTGGTGGATCGTTCTCAGAAACTAGAGCAGGAGAAACCTGAGCTAACACTCTGGGAGAAGAATGAGGTATTCTTAGAGTTTTTATGTTGTTTTATACGTTGTGTACATGAGTACTTCACAAAAAATTATTCTTGGCCTAGAGATTACATGAGTTTTCTGCTCATCCTCCATCATCTTCTTATTTAATTCTTACTTAATTATTTTTCTTCTTCTTTGCCTACTATGCCCTAAAAGTATGTGCACTTTTTGTGAAGGGAAAAAGTGCATAGTTTTGAGTGTGTAGCAGAATAGTAGGCAAGCTTTGGGACTACTTTGTCATAATTACATCTTTAACGGACCGCTTTTTTGCTTTGTTACGTGCATCCTGTAACCGTTTAAACTGCTCTGTCAATCATCTTGTCACATTTAACATCCATCCACATTTCGTTCAATTTTATTTCAATTTAAGAGGCACATTGATGATGCATTTAAAAGTTAATGACCAAACGTATCTTTATAAAAGTTCACAATGCTGTTGCAGATGAGATATAACGTGGATAACAATAATAAAGATTTTATCATCAGGTTAGATAAACACACAAACCCCTTTCTCTACTTGTCTGTCGGTATCGTATATCTGCCACGTTTGTTGTTTTTTAACATTTTTTTTATTGGTGTTTGTAGTTCTAATCGAATCCTCATCCAGAAATAGTAAACCATCCTGGTACCTTTGGGAGACTCATTTCAACATACTACGATTTGGGACACACTATTTCTAATTTTGAATATTATTTAGGACTGATTGTATGCAAATTGGGTTGCAGCATTGTTCTTTTTGTTGTTCTTTTTTTCCTCTTCTTCTTCTTACACTTCTTATTATTATATTTAATTTTCTTCTAATTATTTAATTACTATTCTTTCTTTTTCTGCTGCTTCTTTTTCTGATGTCTGCCACATCCAGATATTTCATCTAGTGTTAGGGATGATGTGGAGTGTATTTGAGGAAGATGAGTGATGTTATACTGTATGTGTATTGGGTTTCTTCATCAGGTGAGTGTGGTGGTGTCCCTCATCACAATGATTGCTCCTTCAGCCTTTGAATTAGTAGCACAGTTGGAGATGTACCACCCCAGAACGAGTCTCCGCTTCCAGCTTGCCAGGTCAGAAAATCACTGGCTGCTCTGGTTTTACTAAATCTTTATTATATTTTGTTTATCAAATGGGAAATATGTCTTTGTTGTTTAGAGTTCTGGTGTTGTACCTTGGAAACCTCTACAGTTTGATTATTGCCCTCCTGGATAAAGTCAACAGTATGAGCTCTGCTGTGAGTCGTATTTACATTCTTATTTAATTCTCAACCTTTTCTCTAGGGCTGCTTGATTAATAAATACAATTGGAATTGCAATATTGCTTAGTGTGTTTATCTAGTTGCAAAGGCTGTGTTTTAATTAAATATATGGGTCAAAGACGTTAAGATGTCCACATCAAAAGAAATTTACAAAAGTGATATTATGTCAACATTAAATGCGAGTAAAGTGTCTACATTTAAGGTTTCAAATAAGTTTTTGAAGAGTAAAATGTCAAAATTTGGTTGAAATAATGTTCCATTGTCATTCAGTGTAACACTTATAGTTATGTAAAAATTCAAACAACATGCTTATTTTGACCTGTACATATTAAGATATATAAAAGAATGAGTGAGCATATTAAATTTTATTCAAAAGTGATTTTATGTCCATAGAAAGCACATTAAATGTAAGTAAAGTGTCTACTTTTAACGTTTCAAATAAGTTTTTGGAGGATAAAATGTCAAAATTTGGTTGAAATAATGCTACATTGTCATTCAGTGTAACACATTATTTATGTAAAAATTCAAACAACATGCTTATTCTGACATGTACATATTCAAATATATAAACGAATAAGGGAGCATATTAAATTTTATTGGGTTTTAAATGAGTAAAAAATTCTTACTGACAAATGGGCAAAACCTAGGATAGTGGCAAATTAAAAAAAGTTAAAATTACAACTAATTAGTAATTTGGGGTGACAGTAATTAGTTTTTTAATATGTCATAAATTAATTTTTATTGTAAATATGCCTGACAAGATTGTTACACTGAATGACATTTTAGTTTCTAATTTTGAATATTATTTAGGACTGATTGTATGCAAATTGGGTTGCAGCATTGTTCTTTTTGTTGTTCTTTTTTTCCTCTTCTTCTTCTTACACTTCTTATTATTATATTTAATTTTCTTCTAATTATTTAATTACTATTCTTTCTTTTTCTGCTGCTTCTTTTTCTGATGTCTGCCACATCCAGATATTTCATCTAGTGTTAGGGATGATGTGGAGTGTATTTGAGGAAGATGAGTGATGTTATACTGTATGTGTATTGGGTTTCTTCATCAGGTGAGTGTGGTGGTGTCCCTCATCACAATGATTGCTCCTTCAGCCTTTGAATTAGTAGCACAGTTGGAGATGTACCACCCCAGAACGAGTCTCCGCTTCCAGCTTGCCAGGTCAGAAAATCACTGGCTGCTCTGGTTTTACTAAATCTTTATTATATTTTGTTTATCAAATGGGAAATATGTCTTTGTTGTTTAGAGTTCTGGTGTTGTACCTTGGAAACCTCTACAGTTTGATTATTGCCCTCCTGGATAAAGTCAACAGTATGAGCTCTGCTGTGAGTCGTATTTACATTCTTATTTAATTCTCAACCTTTTCTCTAGGGCTGCTTGATTAATAAATACAATTGGAATTGCAATATTGCTTAGTGTGTTTATCTAGTTGCAAAGGCTGTGTTTTAATTAAATATATGGGTCAAAGACGTTAAGATGTCCACATCAAAAGAAATTTACAAAAGTGATATTATGTCAACATTAAATGCGAGTAAAGTGTCTACATTTAAGGTTTCAAATAAGTTTTTGAAGAGTAAAATGTCAAAATTTGGTTGAAATAATGTTCCATTGTCATTCAGTGTAACACTTATAGTTATGTAAAAATTCAAACAACATGCTTATTTTGACCTGTACATATTAAGATATATAAAAGAATGAGTGAGCATATTAAATTTTATTGGGTTTTAAATGAGTAAAAAATTCTTACTGACAAATGGGCAAAACCTAGGATAGTGGCAAATTAAAAAAAGTTAAAATTACAACTAATTAGTAATTTGGGGTGACAGTAATTAGTTTTTTAATATGTCATAAATTAATTTTTATTGTAAATATGCCTGACAAGATTGTTACACTGAATGACATTTTAGTGGGCGTCTTCTGTAAATCAGGGGAAAATGTATGATATTTATTTTTTGCTCAGAAAAACAAAAAACAAAAATACAATTACATTAAACAGAAAACGTAATTTTTTTTTTTTTTGGAAAAACAACAACAATTTAAAGCAGTATTGTTTTTATGTTTAAACCCTTTTTCGTCTTTGACCCATATATGCACTGCATATAGTGTGGCACAGTGTTCTTTTACACACAAGCAACTCATGATCCAGTGTTTTTATTATTTTATAGTGATATTGATATTAATCACAATTTTTTGGCCGAATTGTGCAGCCCTACAAACAAGCACAGCAAACCTGGATTTTTTTTTTTATCGCATTCACAATTTTTATCAGAAAAAAACTGAGAACAAAAAAAAAAGAGAATTTTTTTCTGATGTATTACTCAGCAGGAAATATATAATGTTTTAATGAATTAATGAAATCAGAACATTGATTTAACATCAAACGATTGATATTTGTGCAGTGAAAATATTATTCAGATTTTTACCACTCTTTAGTTAGAAAATTTACTTGATTTTCGTAAAAATGTAATTCAACATAAATAAATAAATCGTACATGTTTTGAATAATTTTAGATTTCTGTGGGTCCAGGAAACCTGTCTGACTCAACATCGTACCTAGCAACGATTTCCCAGTCTACTGAAGACAACCTGTCCACCATCATCCCGGATATCACAGAGCGGCAGAACAGCACACTGACCAGGACTCTTCTGGAGCTCAACAACAGCATGACCACCGTCAAGAGCACCACATCCTCCAGACAACCGATGAGAATGCAGTCTCTGCTAAACCACACCGTCCTGTATGAGTACAACACCAGATCACAGCAGGACCCCTGCTGGGAAACATATGTCGGCCAGGTGCTCTCTGTTCCAGTTTTAGCTTATCAGGATGTTCCTGGTCTCCACACCTGACTGGAGGATATGAATGAACCTTTCATAGGCATTAGCCATAGAATTATCACATAGCATAGTTGAAACTTTAAAAGAAAATTGAGCCTATTTTTATTTAAATTCTGGTTTTTATTTTACACAACATTATTATACCAAGTAATCATGTTTTCATAGTCTTTGATCCAGTCAATTCCTGATATATAAAATATAGTTGTTGGTTTTTTTTTTTCACTCTGAAAATATGGCCAAACAAAATGAAGCTCTAAAAAATATAATGTAGTTATGTACACTACTGTTCAAATGGTAAGATTTTTTAAATGTTTTTGAAAGAAGTTTATTTGATTACAAATACAGTAAAAACAGAAATATTGTGAAAAATTATTATAAATAGTTGTTTTCCATTTGAATATATATTAAAATGTATATATTAATAAATAAAATAAATAAATACAATGTAATTTATTCCTGTGATGTCATAGCTGAATTTTCATCATCATTAATGAAATTATTGAAATAGTAAATCTCTTATATATTTGAATCTTTTATAGAAATGGATTTACTGTCACTTTAGATGAGTTTAATTGGTCCTTTCTGAAAAAAAGTATCAATTTCTTTCCAAAAAGTATAACATTTTACTTCCAAAAACAAAAACCCCAATAAAATCTGTGTAAAATCTGTCACAACTAAAAATGTCTTAATTTCATTGCATTAGATACAAAATATAAAACAATATATAATATCTAAAAATATATAAAAGCGGCCTCTGCAAACAAGTGATGCTGGAGCTTTTCTTAGAACTATAGCCACTTTTCTGAGCCACTTTTTAAATTGTTTTTAACCAGCTGATCTCAAATTATTATTTTTTTTTCATGGCTGCGTGAAGTCAGTTCCCTTAAAATGTCCTGAAACCCCTCGATGTAGTTCATCACATTAACAAATGAATATGTACAGTCTGTTTTTGTCTTCGTTTTCAACAATATAGTTATTATTTCATACGTAGAAACTTAACAAAGCTACTTTTGTCAAATCTTTTGACTGAAAAGCATGTTTGTGCTATATTTCTAAAAATGAATGCTACTTGATTTGATATTTTGTTATACAATTCAAAGTTTTTTTAGTGTGGCCTATGTATCCAAATGCTATTTGGGGCCACTGTATATTGAGACATACCCAGAGACATTTGATATTGTCTGTGAGAGCTATACAGAGCACTCAAGCTAGTAGACATGCTTAGCATCCTCCAACTATGACACAGTCTTGCTTTTGAGTGAGCTAATGAAGCATCTCAATTGCAGGCTACATTGTTATTTATTAAAGGCATTATTGTGACAAACAGTGTAAAGTATGTTTCCCTCTGGAGGAGAGGAATATGGATTGGATACATGGCTTGAAATATCCAGCCTGGCTTTTATTTAATGAAAGTATGATCCAAAGGTCTGATTGAGAGTTCTGCTTGGAGATACTGATGGTCTGCGGAGGGGTAAAATTGCATCCTGCACAAGGAAGGTAAATGCAGGCTGTTTATTTTGTTTATCTTATTTACAGGAGATGTTAAAGCTCTCCATCATTGATATGATCTTCACGGTGGCAAGTATCCTGCTCATTGATTTCATCCGGGGACTGGTGGTTCGATACTTGAGTGACTGCTGCTGTTGGGACTTGGAGAGCAAGTTTGTAAGTCGGTCGCTTCTGTTCAAAAACACACTTTCAGAGGTTTTTCAAGCAGATATATGAGCGATAGATAGGCCTGCCTAGAATCTGCACCTGTTGAAAACATTGGTCACATTTTCCAACACTATCAAAAAGCATGTGGGACTCCACTTGGGTCACATTGCACATATTTTTGCACTTTTTTATACATATTTAACACCTTTTAAGCAATGTTCCAGTTTCAATACAACCATGCTGTGTATAGTATCTGTGCCACTAGCGAAACCAAACAGAATAGCACAATGTTTTCAAACGGGTTTCCCAAACGTTGAAGTAGAAGTATTTTAACGTTGAAAATATCACTTTTAAGCTTTTTCGTCAGCATCTGTGATGTGATTCCCACAGGAATATAATTGTTCCTTAAAAAATAACTAATACCTCCGTTTATATAAACAGACAATAACTGTGATATAAAGTAATACATTTACAACAGATCCTAGTTATACAACATTTTTATTTTGATGTAATTGAAAACAAGGCTAGATGAAAAATCTGTTTTTTAGTTTTTTTTGGGTTGTATTGTTAAAGTATCTTGGTGTCAAATGTTTAGCTGATGAAATGACTTCCCAAAAAAGTCTAGTGGACAAAAACTCATTTTAATTTGGGTCAAATTGGGCGTCTGCAAAATTATGCTGAGTTGACTCTCACAAACTGCTGAATAATGTGTGCCATTATGATTTAAAGCATTATGTTAATGGAAGTTAATTTATTTAACAGTTGTCATTTTTGTTTTGGATTCTGAATTTCCATAACAGGGATTCCCAAACCTTTTTTTTTTTTTTCCAGCCAAAACCCTTTGAGCTAAAATATTTACTTGAAGTAATTCCTGAAATTTTACATTAATATTTAAATAATTTAACAACACATTTGCATATTCACGGTTCTCTAATGCTGATTGATGGTCACATGACATAACCATAAAAATGTACTTTTTTTTTGTAAGTTTCATTGTCATTGTTTTTATTTAAATGCTTTATTTATTTTAATTTTACATTTTTAAGATGTGTTTAATTATTAGCTTTTCATCAGCGTGCGAACCAAACCCCAGTTTGGGAAACCCTGTCCTATACCATGCATTTATAAATTCCCTTTTTAATTAAATTAAATTCCCTTTTCCAGCCAGAATATGGTGAATTTAAAATAGCAGAAAATGTTCTTCATCTGATATACAACCAAGGAATGATATGGTAAGTGAGTGATGATTCATCATTTATCAATACATTATCTAAAATATGATTGTCAGTATAAAATGAAATGCATCACAATGATTTTTTTTTAATCTCTGATAAACACTCCTAATTTAAAATACTATCTGTCTCTCTGTATATTATTATATATGAGCTTACCTATCTATACCTGCACTAAACTGTCCTCTTCCCTTGGTGCTCCTTACACAGGTCCTCAATGCTCCATTGCCCTCCAGCTTCAGACTGTAATCACACAATAATGACTTGTCTGAAGCTATAGGTGCACAAGCAGAACTCCTTTAAGATGGGAAATAAATCTTTCCGGTGTCTTTGTCTCTCCCTGTAGGATGGGAGCATTCTTTTCACCCTGTCTGCCCGCCTTTAACGTCCTGAAGCTCGTCGGCTTGATGTACCTGCGGAGCTGGGCTGTGCTGACCTGTAATGTTCCCCATCAGCAGGTCTTTAGGGCCTCCAGGTCAGTGAGGCAGAATTAGGTCATTAGAGCTTATACATTCATTGAGCACTGATCTGAGGTCAGTGCTGCACTGTGTTGAGTTCAGTCTCAAAAAATGCATGTTAAAATCCTTAGGAATCTCAAAAAAGTGTAAATTATGAAAGTCATGGAAATGTATTGATCAAACCCTCATTTCAGTTCAATTCAAAGTTCATTAAAAAACAATTTCATGATTTTTTTTTAAATATTAAAATTCCTTTTAATGTAAAACATTTCTATATTATATATTCCTTTGAATATGAAATATTTATTTCCTAATTTTTTCAGGTTTTGTAATTATTTGGAATAATTAGTTTGTATAATTACTACAAGACATTCATTAAAATAATGAGTAATGTGATGTTCAGCCAAATTCCACACATCTGTAGAAATGCAAAAATCTTTCTTTATTAAAAAACTTAAAATACTTAATTACCTCATTTCATAATTACATAACGCTGCATTGGGATCAAAGTCCATTTATTATTTTCCTCTCTACTGAAGTAGGCATTTTTCATATTTAGTGGCGCTTGCTAAAGTAAGTTAGGGATTTGAACGAACCTCTAAACCAAAGTGAATGTGAATAATCAATGTATAATAATCCAGCAATATACTGTAACTGCACACATTCTGATAGATAGATAGATAGATAGATAGATTATTAAAATAGATTATAGACATTAAAAATAATGAGGGAGCTTTGTTTTATTAATTTTAATCATAAAACCTCCTTTAATATTGAATGTTTGCAGTTAGACTTTAGTATTTGCAACTTTACAGATCTTCTTTATACACCAAGAGCTTGTAACACTTCAAAGAGAAAGGAAAAATTGAAATCGCATCATATGACCCCTTTAATATTCAGTGTTTGTAAGGTGCAGCTCTTGGCCTTTGATATTTTCCTACATTTGACACTGCATACTTTTGTAGGTTTCCTTTGCTGGAAAACAACGAGGAGTGTAAATTTCTCTGACAAGAGCTGCAATGTGAATCATTTTTTTTGTTTTTACGAGCTGTGAGATTAATGTATAATCAGCCAGCATTCAGTGTATGGATCAGGGACTCTCTGAACGCTACACGTTTGTTCTCTGCTTGACTGAATTCAAATCCCTCTCATTTTCTAGTGTGGTGAGTACAGAGATAACAGTGGATGCTTCAGTGTGTCAAGTGACTGGGTTGGTCAAAGCATCAGTCTCGGCCTCTATTTCAGATTTATGTAATTGCATCTTCATTGCTTTATCAGGCAGTTGCAGACATGAGGCGAAACGTTACCATGCAGTCTAAGCATATTTTATCTTCAGTGATAGTGCTGTGTTTTATGCGATAAAAAGGAATCATCCCACTGCAGGCAGGGAGTGTGTAACTTATCAGATATTATGAAACAGTCAAATCAGTGTAGTTTCTTTGTCTATCTAAGTGAATTCAAAGTCGATCACAGGGATTGTCTTTAATTGAAATTTATTTTATTCCCCAGATCTAATAACTTCTATCTGACGATGCTTCTCTTCATGCTTTTCCTGTGTATGTTACCAACCATTTTTGCCATTGTGAGGTATCGGCCATCTCAGTACTGTGGACCCTTCAGGTAAAAAAACTGTCCTGTGTTTACATCATTTTAATGTGATGTGTGTCATTTTTTGGATGGTGAAATACTTTTACTTATCCCCGAGATAAGTATATGCTAATGGCAATGTAAAGACATTGCAATACACTATATTTGTGTATAGTTGCTTTTATATAAAATATATATTTGTGACCCTGGAGCACAAAACCGGTCTTAAGTCGCTGGGGTATATTTGTAGCAATAGCCAAAAATACATTGTATGGGTAAAAATTATAGATTTTTCTTTTATGCCAAAAATCATTAGTATATTAAGTAAAGATCATGTTCCATGAAGATATTTTGTAAATTTCCTACTGTAAATATATAAAAACGTAATTTTTGATTAGTAATATGCATTGCTAAGAACTTCATTTGGACAACTTTAAAGGTGATTTTCTCAATATTTCGATTTTTTTTTGCACCCTCAGATTCCAGATATTCAAATAGTTGTATCTCAGCCAAATATTGTCCATAACAAACCATACATCAATGGAAAGCTTATTTATTTAGCTTTCAGGTGATGTATAAATCTCAATTTTGAAAAATTGACCCTTTTGACTGGTTTTGTGGTCCAGGCTCACATTTAAAAAAAAAACTTGCATTTATTTTATTTCAGCTGTTTGTCAAGGCAGCATTTCTCATCTTCATTTAGTTTAAAGGAACTTTAATTGTTTTTTTGGTTTGTTTTATTATGTTCCCTTAGGTGCAATTATAATATTACTATAGTTTTTTTGGATGAAAAAACTTTAAAAAATGTAGTGATTTATGACCTTTTTCCACCCTGTTTCTCATCCTCTGACTCAAACAGTCGGTTTTGGGGTTTTTTCCCCTTTAAGAGTTCAGTGTAACCGCCCACTGTTATGATTGGCTAACGTCTTTTAACACGGGGCCTGAACATGACGGACTCTGAAAACAATATGCAAGTAAACTAAGCTAAACAGCTACTTCTTCAGACCCACTCGCTGCACGTCGACTGAATGTATTATTCAAAAAATTAAAAAAAGAAAATTTTTTATGTTGTCTTATAGATTGTTATAGATTCTGTTTTTATTTGAGCTTCCTGATCTGTACAGCACTTTGGTCAACCTTGGGTTGTTTTTAAATGTGCTTTATGAATAAATAATGAATGAATGAATGAATGAATGAACGAACACCTGTGGGCGTGACAGCGATGCGATGATGCAAAATTAGACACAAATTAAAAAACACCTCTCTCCCCAGTCTGGCATGAACGGCTCGAATAGTTCCTGTATCAAATGAAAGCCCGCCCTCTGAAATACAAAATGTGCTGTGATTGGTTAGCTGGGCCAGTGTGTGTTGTGATTGGTTAGCTGGGCCAGTGTGTGCTGTGATTGGTTAGCTGGGCCAGTGTGTGCTGTGATTGGTTAGCTGGGCCAGTGTGTGCTGTGATTGGTTAGCTGGGCCAGTGTGTGCTGTGATTGGTTCTGAAATACGAAATGTGCTGTGATTGGTTAGCTGGGCCAGTGTGTGTTGTGATTGGCAGCAGTCGGCGCCTGGTCGGGAAATGTCACGCCCCTTACCATAGCCGTGAGTAAGCCGTGAGCTGTGAGCTTCAGTGTAAATATTGCGTCAAAATCTTAATCAATTTGAGCGCGATTTAAACCCGGATGATTGTAACCACTCTAAGTTAGTCTGTCTTGGGAAAGCTAGCGTGTCTCCATCTTAGTGATAACACTCGTTGCTTTCTCTAGTGCAGCTCAACCAGGTCTCGTTCCATTCGTCGGTATTTGTGATATCACAAATCCCGGAAAATATGCGTTGTAGTCCAAACGAGTCGTTCTTGTATCTTGTATCAACCTGAGGAGATTTATTTTGCAATGATGCCTAGCGGGCTGTACATTATCTTTCTAACTAAATGAATAGACACACATGAAATTGATTTGAGTTGAAACTCGTTTAAAATGTTACCAGCATTTATATGTAGAAAATCATTTGCCTGCTTCATACAGTTACGCATCACAAACATTTTTGACTGCAGAACAATTCAGCATTATGAATCACATTTTAGCACAGTATAATAATTATTTATAATTTATGTGAAAATGCATGCCTCTGTAGTGGCCAGGAGAAGATTTACGACATCATCTCCGAAACCATTGCCAATGACTTCCCACTGTGGTTCAGTAAAGTGATGAGTTACGTCACCAGTCCTGTGGTGGTGCTGCCCGCTTTGCTTCTACTCTTGTAAGTACTTCTGTCTACACTCGCCTTAATTACCACAGAGAAAATAACTAGAAAAAGGCATGAGTCTCATCAACAACAAACATAGCTGTTGGCTTGACAAAGTTTTATCTGTAAGATTAGTGTTATTGGTGGTTATGCATGGCTTAAGTGGTTATGAAGGTGTTTTAGGAGACCTCAAGGGTCTCTTTTGTTCACCAAGGCTGCATTCATTTGATCAAAATAGAGTAAAAAGATAAATATTGTGAAATATGATTAGAATTTAAAATAATTGTTTTCTACTGCGATATATTTTAAAATGTAATTTATTCCTGTGATGCAAAGCTGATTTTTCAGCATCATTACTCCAGTCTTCAGTGTCACATAATCCTCCAGAAATCATTGTCATATATATATATATATATATAATGTTTTTGACAAATAGAAAGTAAATACATTTCTTTACTGTCACTTTTGATAAATTGAATGTGCCCCCCCTCCCAACAATAAGTGGGATATATGGTAATTAAGGTGTTTTTGATAGTCTGCTGTAGGAAAAAACACAGGTTAATTCAATTAAGGAAGAGCCTAGCTTCATTGCTGCTGAGTTTGGAGGATGTAGATTGAAAACTTTAGGAGTTACATTTACAAGTTTTGGTCTATGGTTAGAGAGTTAGAAAAAATCCCTACCCCTGTTTGTACAATATCAGCATGTTGGTTTTGTCAAGCCAACATAATTCGACCAGGCGAGAAGGACAGATGCCTTCAGTTACTCAACCTTGTGCTGTTCGTCACTGTCTCTTTCAGCATGCTGATCTACTACCTCCAATCCATCGCTAGATCACTCAAAGTCACCAACAGCCAGCTGAGACTGCAGCTGCAGAACGTGAGTTACTCGAAATTGAATATCATCATGATGTATTTCAGTTCATTTAACAGATCCGTGATTTACAATAAGGAACCCGGGCGAAACAGGATAAGGTCTTTGGATTTCATATAATCTCATTTCTCCAGCAGTTTATTTTATAACGCTAATTAAATCTCCTGTTGCAGGAGCGCACGGACGACAAGAAGAAAGTATTTCAGTTAGCTGCAGGTACTTTGTCTATAAACTATCTTCATTATGAATACAAGAGAACGTTTCAGGCCCATTTCAGTAACGGCCAAAGTTATGGACTCACAATATATAACGTCATAAGCCAATATCAGCTTGTCACCAGTTGGCTGGACATTTGGGTGTGTAAATGTGTGATTTACAGCACGTCTGCAGGCACCTGAGGGCAGCGATAAAAAGCCAGAACAAGAGAGCGACATTACTAGTATGGAGTCGTCCGCCCGCTCCGCCTCCCCTCCACGCCGCAACGGCAGCATCACCAACTTCGAATCTCCCGTTCGCCATGGCAACAGCATCCGGACCATAACGCAGTCGGTTTCACGGCCTGACATCCCTAGAGCTGCTGGAGCGACGCAGAGCCCCACTGTCCCTGTGCAACAGAAACACAAAGCGGAGCCCGTGGCCAGTAGGTCTGTGGTGCTCTGTAGCTTTATATTTCACTGCTGCTTAGCTTCCATGCATCTGCAGTTCATGAAGCTTCACTGCCCTCCATTTCTGTCCATGTAGTTCTTTCAGAATGTACAGCAGCCCCTCAGTTCCTCAAAGACAAGTACGACGAGTGGAGTACATACCCATCAGGTTTGGCATCTTTGTGAAATTTGATTATGAATAAACATAATTCTGCAATTTCTTTCTACCTATGACGGTAATCTATTAAAACATTGGTCTAGAATTCAATTCAAATTAAGCTCTATCAAAAACAATGTGGCATAATATAGATTACTGCATAAAATAATATCTGTCCTCATTTATTTTTTAAAATGCAAATCATGATTACAGCAGTGTTGTTATTGTTAAGTAAAATTAAAAATATAAAAAAAAAATTTTGTTAATTTGAATAAAGCTGAAATTAAAATATAAATATTAGATGTATTTTTTTTTATGTTGAAGTTAAAAAATTACTAAAACTAAAAAAAAACTAAATAAAAATATAAACAAAAAAACTAGAAAATGACAAAAGCAAAAAAACAACTAAATACTTAAATGCTAATTTAAAAAAATACTGTAATAGTATATAAATAATACTAAAATAAAACTGGATTACAGTAAGGTGGGTAAAGTAAAATACACAGTTTCAAAAGCACAGCCACTATATTCAAACATAGGTGTTGACTTACTGTAAGACTAGTGTGACAGAAGCATTTAATGATGCTGTGTGTTAGTGTAAAGTAATTTATCCAAATATTTGGATCATCATACCATGTAACTTTAGCTTGATACGCATAAGTATGCATGAAGCAAACCAGATGTTCATCCACTTAGAAAATTAGTACTAGCCCAAAAAGTATGATTTAGACAGCTTTACTGACCAAACAATAAACTGCAGTAAAGTTTTTCTGAATAATTAATGTTAAGTGCTTTAACATAATACAGGTGCATCTCAATAAATTAGAATGTCGTGGAAAAGTTCATTTATTTCAGTAATTCAACTCAAATTGTGTGAGTTGAATTACTGAAATAAATGAACTTTTCCACGACATTCTAATTTATTGAGATGCACCTGTACAAACTTTATATTTCTGGTCTTAAACCCTTCAGGACACTGGTTCGCTTGACTTGAATTGTTTATGGACATTACTGTAAAAGTGCTTTTTCACTCTATTTTTTAAACTGAGGGACAAGTCAAAAACGTGTACTTTTCTTCATTTCATATTATACGTGCTTATATTATACTTGGCACTGTGAGACTCATGATACATTGCTTGTGATGTTCTTTCTTTGTAGGTCGCTTTGGATAAAAGTGTTTGCTAAAAGAATAAATGTAAATGCTGTTCATGCAGCTTAACTTAAAAAAAAAACTTAAATACCTTTTTATTTTTTCTTCAGATAATTATATTACTCATATCAGATCACGGATAGGGTCTTCAGTACTTGCACTTTGAGAGTAAAATTTCATTTGGCTTCACCTTTCATTCCATAAAAAGTGACCCTGTCTGTGAAATCCAGGCTAAAGTCTTAAAATCTAATTATGAGATAACAAGCGTCAAAGTTTGATTTCAACCATTAATTTCACTATGATTTCAATCTTTGACATTGCTTTACTCAGTCAATATTAAAGATATAGAGGTTATATTTTCACATAATGTTTTACATCTTTATTAAGGATGATTTTATGTAGAAAACAGTTAATCACAAAAAAAATGACTTTAGCTGGGTTTTCACAGGCAGGGTCACAAATGCAATGCACTTCATACTACTTAATTAAAGGGACAGTTCACCAAAACTGAAAACATAGTCATCATTTACTCACCCTCTTGTCATTCCAAACCTACATTATTTTCTTTTTTCTGTGAAACACAAAGTGAGCTCTTAGGAAGAATGTGGGCAGATTGCTTTATGGTGCTTTTAGTCCTTGACAGTATAAATCACCATCCAGTTTTTGCTTAACATCTCCTTTTTGTTTCACAAAGAAAGAACAATACAAGTTTTGGAACTACATGGTAAATGATGACAAAAAAAAATTCAGTTTTGTGTGAACTATTCCTTTAACATAAATTACAAGCTGCATCATAAAGGTAAATGTCTGTTTCTTGAGTTTATAAAAGGTAGGGTGAATATGTTCAAGCATACATATCCATGTCATATGTTGCATTCTCTGATATCCAGGCATTCTGGGTACTTGGGCAGCACCAGCGGTTCCTGCCGCTCCAAGTCCTACCACAACATGGCCTACAAGCCGTGTACAAGGTATGCCGAAAACATCCACTCCGATCCGCTGTTTCGGAAGACCCTTCGGCCCATGCACACCGAGCCCGCCGTAATCACGGCTCAGAGCTACGTGGGCCACCGGGCACATTCGACACGTTACGTCATCGTCAACGAACACGAAGCTCGCAAGAAGCTCATGCGCTCAAATACACGCTTACCGAGACATTACCGCCTCGCGGACGAACCAACGGAGATCGTAGAGCTTTATCCACGTAACGTGAAGTGTTACATTCCTCGTCCTCCTCACCGAAGCCACCAGCCACACCTCAGCGAGGAAGAGGAGGAGGAAGATCCGAAGAGCAGCACGAGGAGGGGGTCGTTCAGACAGTCGAAACGTCCACGACCACTGTCGGATCGCCATCAGACCACGCAATTCTACATTGGCGATACAATAAACAGTCAGTTGTCTATGGAGCAGGGTTTATACGGCGACGAAGAAGAGGGCGATCAGGAAGAAGACTGGGTGAACGACCCTCAGACAAACATCCGAGGTCCAGAGTCGGCTCACAGGTACGGCGAACCATACGTCAAGCCCAAGACCAAGCATAAAGTGGAGCCGTCTCTGACCGAGTCGGATTCGGCATCGCTAGCGTCCAGTAGTGACCAACAAAACAGCAGCACGGACCAGTACATCCAGGTCATTCACAACAAAAAGAAGTACCTGAAGTCCAACGCCAAGCTGACCAAAACGAAATCCAAGAGCAGTGTTAAACTCAATGTGTCTGGCACTAATGATCTTGTCTGCTCCAACGTTTAACCTGTTTAGAGCTAAAACCGAGATTATGGCTCTGCTCGAAAACACTGGTAAGCTTTCTACGTAGGAAGCATTTTAGGTGTACACCAACACCAAGTGCGTTTCATGAGGTAGGTTGCAGCATTATCCTGCCTTCTAAAGGCTGGAATACATTAGACGACTTTTAAAATCGGAACAGATTTTAAAACACTAGGCATCTGATGACTTTTAAGTTGTTCCTAGTCGTTGCTAGGAGACATGTGACAAATGAAAACAATATGTGTTCTAAAATCGGCTCAACATATCAAACACTTTTGATATCCTCCAGCTGGATAAAATCAGTCAGTGACCATTACCACTACGCAATTTTCTGTGAACTCTGACTGCTCAAAATCTACAGAATGACTGATTTTTGGCAACTATGGTCAACTTGTCTAGACTGCAAATTGGGGCAAAATTCTGGGCAAAAGTCCCGTAGTGTATTCCAGCCTTGAAAGGCCTTCTTCTGGCCAAATTGTAATGCAGCTTCATATGCATCCTTTACCAGAATGCACCATGAGTAATTCAGCATTCCAAACAACTTGAATTCTCCCATAGACATGTATACATAGATGCCTTGTTAGTGGCTATTTCTATGGGCCACTATATGTAACTCACCTCCATATTGGTGGGGTCAAAGCCGAACCATGAACACTTGAGAGCAAGTTGACTGTGCGTCTGCAACTGTTGTTATACGCATATGAATATATAAATCTGCAATAGACTGCACCAGATGATTTTGCTTAACTAACACAATACAACAAGATGAAGCCATTAGCTAACACAAAATTTAAAAACTTACCATAGTTTAAAAACCTGTAATATTGATTTAATACATTTTAAAAGCACAAACCAACACATTCTCACCTGTAAAAGTTTATCCCATTTCTTTGGGAATTAAAATGTTGGTGGTTTTTACAACCAGAGGCTGCACAATGTTGTGGCATCTTGGAAAACTCATTGATTTCTACTGTAAGTGATGACACATTGACCATTCCAAGATGGCGGACGCATCGACGTGTCTGGAGCGGTCGAATGTGGCATCTACCTATACATATCTATGAGATTCCCCCACTTCTACTTAAAAATAACCACTTGAATGCTGCTCGAGGTTGGATATCCAACTCATTCAGAGCAGATCAATCAACCCCCAATTCAAGGAGAAGCAAAGTTTTCAAGTTGATGGCAACTAAAGTTGATGGTTATTTTAAGTGGAGGTGAGGCAAGTTGTTTGGAACACATCATGACTAGAAAATGTTGACGCCGCAAATGGGGAACTTGAGTATTCCCACCTCCAACTACATCTGAAACGCAGCATAAATCCATCCAAGATGGTGGATAAAGTTGAGAGAAGTGTTTGTTATAATATAGTGCATTTCATTCAATAATGAAAAATATTGATTAAAAAAATATGTTAGCATATAGCATAGCAACATGCAAATGACAGACACCGAGCGCCAGTAGCTGTCTATGAGGTGTGTTCCAAATCAGTCATTTATGAGGTTCCACTATAGTTCCACTGTAGTCAGCTACTTATGTAGGCAGTAGACAGCAAGGCAGCTTACTCGGTTTTTGAACAGAGCCATTTATTCAGTGTAATACAGTTTTATCATATAAAAGTTGAAGTATAAAAGCACAAAGAAATGACTAGCCTATATGAGTGTACTTTGCATGTATCTAAATCTGATATAAAAAAAAATGATAAATTATAATGTTTGGACATTTGTAGATTCTGTTGTGTGATGCAAGGCTGCAAACATCTTCAAGATTGCGTCTGTATTAAATAAAATACATTTAAATAAAAATGTGAGAATCTACCAGTGAAAAACCCACATCAAGCAGACTGATTGTAAAAGGCTGGCACTGAGGACCCCCAGGCAAACATATAGGCTAGGGTGACGTGCCCTTTTTCTCGGACACGTCCCGGCCAGGATTTCTATATTACCTAAAATATCCAGGGTTTGGCTTCGTTTGCGCTGTGCAGACCGATCGGTGTTTTGACATCAACGTACCGTGAGAGCTATAGAGAGCAGCCGCTCCTTATACTTTCGAATCGCTCTCGCGGTACTTTGATGTCAAACACTGATTGGTCGGCGCAGCTCCGCTTCAAGTTGAACACCTAAAATGTACGCATATTTGCATCGCTTTGACCATTCTCTGTAGATCACACCTTCTCACACGCCACGATTGGTTGATTATGTACAATGCCTGCATGTTATTGGTCAAACTACTTTTTGATCATTACCTTCAGCAAGTATAAAATCAGGAAAACAAAGCCAAAACCTGGATATTTTAGGCAATATAGAAATCCTGGCTAGGACGTGTCCGGGAAAAAGGGCACGTACGGTCACCTTAATATAGGCCCTGTCCCTGTCACAGCTCATGTGCACTTTCGGTCTTGAAGACTCACAATGCTGCATGCACGTGTCCGTTAAAGCAGCACTATGTAACTTTTGGCGCTGTAGCGGTTAATAAACAGAACTGCACACATCCCGCGGAAGAACATTCCAACCGGAGCTACTTCTCTAAGTTTATGTCTCTGGCGATTCACGCATGTATGTGTTACTCCGCAGCGGTGACGACCCGACCAGGCTGCAATAGTCCAAATATAAGTACTTATTATAAGTGTACCGTAGTGATTCGGAATAAGACAAAAATGCGGTTTGGAAGATGAATTCATGATGTACTCGCTCATTATATACATTTTGCAAATTTTGAAGCTACTTCTCTAAGTTTATGTCTATGGCGATTCACGCAGGTATGTGTTACTCCGCAGCGGTGACGACCCGACCAGGCTACAATAGTCCAAATGTAAGTACTTATTATAAGTGTACCGTAGTGATTCGGAATAAGACAAAAAAAAAAACGCGGTTTGAAAGATGAATTCAGGATGTACTCGCTCATTATATACATTTTGCAAATTTTGAACACAGAAAAAGTTACATAGTGCTGCTTTAAGTCCACGAGACTGTAGGGGAGGGGTGTCAGACTCAATTCCTGGAGGGCCCTCTGCAGAGTTTAGATTCAACCCTAATTAAACACACCTGATTCAACTAATCAAGTCCTTCAGGCTTATTTGGAAAAAAAAACATGGTATGTGTGTTGGAGCAGGGTTGAATCTAAACTCTGCAGGGCTCCGGCCCTCTAGGAATTGAGTTTGACACCCCTGCAGGGTGTCCCATTCGTCATTTTAGCGTTCAGAAGGGTGCTTGCGAGTCTGCGAGCTACACAGACGACATCTACCCGGCAGTCTAAGCAGCATTACGTCATGAAAGTGCGGACTCAGAGGAAGACAGTGAGGGTTTAGGGTGCCATTTGGGACATGGCCATAGAATTGGGTGGGCTGAGGGAGCATTTAGTTTTCGTAGGGGGGCACACTTTTTATAATAAACTGAAATAGACCAAGTTCTATATTAAAACATCACTAATACGAGACTGTTCAACCTAGAACAATTTAGATACATTAATTAACTACACAAATACCAAGTTGCATAATGCCTACACATTCAGTAAACCAGGCCCGTCTTTTGGGGGGCGTGCAAACAAAAGTAAGAGCACCCTCAGTTGAAGCTGTAATAACAGCTCTCTAGTGTAGTCGTGTTTGCGCTCTCGCAGAACATCAAATGTCTCTATTTACATTGCAGTGTAGACATAGGGGGCTCTTTGGTCAAAAAAGTTTCCTGAGCCCTGACCTATTCGATGTACTGTAAAACAGGATCGACCCTGAACACTCTAATTCCCAGAATGCAACATTCTTCTGAGGACAGACTAAGGAAGTGGCCTTGTGCTGATTGCTTTTTTTTTTTTTAATTATGATGATTTTGTGGCATTATGCGTTTTAATTTTCTCCTTTTAGTTTTTCTGATCGCGCATGTTTAATTGAATCGTTCTGTTGATCTCTATAGAACTGTATCGATTATTATCCGGTCGGTCACAATGACAGTCACTGTGATCATCTGTAACTAATGAATGAACTGGAAGCATCTGACCTTTTATACCAGAAACTGACAGATTGTATCTGTGGCCACAGATCGTGTATGAACATTGGACGTACTTGAACAAAGATCCCGGAAGAATCGAAGGTAAATTGTTTAATTTGACGAATTTAGCAGCTCGCAACCGGTCACTCGCGATAGAAGGCTTTGAATAACGTTACATGTGCTGTTAGAGGACGAACCGATAAAGTAATATAAAATAAAACTGCACGCTCTCCATCGTCATGGATTACATGCACACGGCCAGATCAGTGGAAGATCGTCTCTTGAGCTACAGAAAAGACGAGTCCGGATGGAAAACATGCAAGAAAACTGTACGTGTGAAACAGAAATGTGTCATTTTGTCATCTTTTGCAGCTGTTTGTCTATAAACAAGCATTGGTTTTTCTTTCTAGAATGATGTTGTGGTGTATTGGAGACCCTCTTGTGAATTCGCGGGATATGTGTAAGTATACATTTGTACATTACAGTATGATCCTGAATTTGTCATCGTGACGTCATATGTGCTGACTTCTCGTGCTCCTGTTGTATAAATACTCTAGTTAGTGAAACTCCTGTTACATAGGCTATTATATGAGAAATATTACGCGCTCATAAAAGTGGACATTATTCAGCCTGTGAGACTGAGATCAATGCATATCCATACTCATGCTGTCAGGGTATGAAAAATAAATCCCAAAGTATCAATGACAATCCTCTGTTGAATGTGCATTGCTTTAGTTATGCTCAGCTCTGAAATATTTCACTTGGCAGATATTTATTTGGTATAATCGCCTGGTTAGTCTTCAAATAGGGTCTGTTTTGACTACTTGCATTTTTATAACTGTGTTCTGAAGTTCTAAAGACCTAATATTTTGGTATAAAGTAGGCTACTCCAAATTAAATGTTTATTTATGCCATATATGCATGCTTTTTTTTCTTAATTAAACCATTTTAAATTTGTAAACAAACGCTTTAGTTTTCTTTTATTGCTTTTCTATCATTAATTACATTTCTATAATTAAACATTAAATAATATAAAAAATTTAAGTTACCAGAATGTCATTCTTTTGGGCATCTAAAATAAAATACTTTTTTTAAACGACGAATCACT